CACTGTGATCTAGGGCACACCTTTCACTTCTAGGTCTTACCTAAAAGTGGAAGTGCCTACACCCAACTCATAGGACTGTGTAGAGAATGAGATGAAATAACACCCGTCAGGGGCTGCACCTTGTGTCTGTCAGGGCCAGTCCTTGATGTTCACTGTGAGGCATGCTATAGAAGAGCATACTCACAGGAAGAAAAGACTAGGAAAGAGTATAGTGGTGACAAAGCGGGTGTATTAGAGTGGTAAAATTACAGGTGATTTTTTTTCTCTAGTCACCCAGTTTTCAAAAATAAAGTGTGAGGTCATGCAGAAAATTGAACAGAGAGAAAAGGAAGGAGAGAGAAGCAGAGGCAGAGAAAATGCACCAAAGAGTTCATGATTACAAGACACTGTAAAGGCTGAAAAGAAAAAGGGCAGAAAAACAGAAACTACCCCCATATCCTTAACCTTCCTCTGTGCTTGGAGTCCCACTTCCCAAATAGGAATAGAAGGCTGTGGGAAGGAAGACTGTGGTTTTCAGGAGAAAAAGCAAGTATCCAGGAAAAACAATCATAAAGTTTGAAGCATATACATGATAGTGAAACATCCCACGTGGGAGAAAGACATTATCCGAACCAGAGACACTCACAGAATGCAGAAGCACTACACAGTCTGAGGCACAGAGAAAGTGAGGACATTTGTGTAAGTCTTTTCCTTTCACTGAAAGTTGTTGAAACAAGACCTTTGATACCAGAACTGCCAGACATGGTGGTATCATCAGGTGTCCCCCCGACAGCTCTGTCCTCTCCCCCTCAGAGGTATTCCTTAGCTAATGGTGCTGGGGAAAGCTCTCTGGCTGCAGAGTCATGGGACATGAGAGGGTGTGTGTGCTGGGGCTCCCAGGGAAAGATTTCCTCCTTTGTAAAGGGCACAGCTTAGAAGAAATTCTTCTTCCTGCTTTTGGATACAACGGGAGGAAGGAGGACGTGATCTGTAAGACTAGCGACGGCAGCCATCTTGGTACCATGAGGAGTTGAACTTGAGGGTAAGTAGAAAGAAAAGGAACGTGAGTTCTCAGTAATGATTACTTAAACAGGAACCTGCTACTCCTGGCCTTTTTATGTGGGATAATAAACATCCTTAATGTTTACACCACTATTAACTGGTTATTTGGTACTTTTAGGCAAAAGCATCTTAAAATTATTCATATAGCATTTGGTGAGCTGATGGGCTCAGAGGGATATCTAAATGGAAAAAACCCATAGACAGAAATCAGGAATGGCAATGCTACAGCTTGGTCTTAACAGGTGCCAATCCAAATGATAAAAAGTTAAAAAGCTAATCAACTTTCTCCTCCAGCTTTTAGCTCCTTTGCCCCCCCCCCCCCAAAATGAGACAAGAGACTGAAATGTTCAGTTCTGCCACTCTAATACTCATAATGCATTTGGCCAAGTTTTCCAAGCAGACTCCTCACAGCAAATTTCTATGAATTAGGTAAATATTTTACTGAAAGGATATTTTCTTCACCCACTTCCCAAAGTACAAAAGCATCAGAATAGAACAGAAATTTCACGTAAAAAAATTATGTGTATACACACACACACACAAAATGAGAAAGACTGTATATTCTATAGCAACATTAATAAATATTTTAATTCAGGAACACTCAGGTGGCTCAGTCAGTTAAGCTTCCAACTTCAGCTCAGGTCATGATCTTGTGGTGAGTTCAAGTCCCACACTGGGCTCTCTGCTGTCAGCACAGAGCCTGCTTCGGATCCTGTTTCCCTCCCTCTCTGTCCCTCCCCAGCTCATACGCACACACATGTGGGTGCACACTCTCTCAAAAATAAACATTAAAAAATATTTTTTAACTCAACATTAAACTGAAACCTACTCTTGCAATCTCAGTTTTAGAAATGGTAAGAATTCAAAGCACCTGGGTGGCTGTCAGTTGAGCATCTGACTCTTGATTCTGGCTCAGGTCATGATCCCAGGGTTGTGGGATCAAACCCCGTGTCAAGTGTCACGCTGAGCACAAAGCCTGCTTAAGATTCTCTCTCTCACACTCCTTCTGCCCCTCTCCTCCACTCAAAAATTTTTTTAGGGGCACCTGGGTGGCTCACTCGGTTAAGCGTCCGACTTCAGCTCAGGTCATGATCTCAGTTTGTGGGTTAGAGCCCCGCGTCGGGCTCTGTGCTGACAGCTAGGAGCCTGAAGCCTGCTTCTGATTCTGTGTCTCCCTCTTTCTCTCTCTGCCCCTCCCCTGCTCATGCTCTGTCTCTTAAAAATAAATAAATGTAAAAAAAATACCTTTTTAAAATTTTTAAATGTTAAAAAAAATAGTAATAATTTTTCAGCATCCCATTCATTTCTTTCCCAAGCAAAATTTTTAAACTGAAAATTTTATTATTTTTATTTTTTAAATGTTTATTTATTTATTTATTTATTTTTGAGAGAGAGCACATGTGCATGTGAGCGGAGGAGGGGCAGAGAGAGAGAGAGAAAGAGGGAGGGAGGGAGGGAGGGGAGGGGAGGGGGAGGGAGAGGGAGGGAGGATCTGAAGCGGCCTCTGTGCTGACAGCAGTGAGTCCCATGTGGGGCTTGAACTCACAAACCGTGAGATCATGACCTGAGCTGAATTCGATGCTCAACCGACTGAGCCACCCAGGTACCCCTATTTATTTACTTATTTTTAAATGTTTATTTCTTTTTGACAGCGAGTGAACAGGGGAGGGGCAGAGAGAGGGAGACCGAGGATCCCGAAGTGGGCTTTGCACTGACAGCAGAGAGTCCAATGTGGGGCTCGAACTCACGAGCCATGAGGTCATGACCTGCGCTGAAGTCGGATGCTTAACTGACTGAGCTACCCAGGTGTCCCTAAATTGAAAGATTTTAAACTATAGGATTTGGAGGTGGAGGGAGAGGGAAGATCAGGGGAAAGGGGGAAAGGAATGAAAATTCGAAATGATTCATGATCTTCACATATGAAACACCCCTTCAGTTTTATCAGATGGAATTTATAAATGTTTCGTAATAAAGTTATGAATACCAACACCAAAAGTCAGCAATAAGACAAGCCTTCTTGAAAAATGAGGAAAATATAATCCACTTTTGGTCTCTTTTTTCTGTGAACTGTTCATTACTCTTTCAAACAGAGAATTTAAACAGATATAGGGCAATATTTTAGTCTAAACTTTAACAAAATGAAAAACTAAGCAAATCACAAGAAGTCAGTATTAGGCCTCCAAAAGCAACTCTTGCTAGGGTAGTACTTTACCATGAAATTGCTGTAGATGAGCAGAAAATTACTAACTATATGAGATGGTGAATATAAGCAAAAAGACAACTTGAGACAAAAATAAAACACAGAAGTTATTTCCATTCCCTCTGAATCAAATACATATCCACATGAAAGAAAATTTCACCACTGCAACATATTTTCCTTATTGAAACTGAAGAAGGTTTCAGCCTGTGTTTGCAACAACAGGGTTGCTGTGGAAATAGCTGATTCAACATTATGAACTCGCAGCTGAATAAAGTAAGGTGTGGAACAGAAATCTTATTTAAACAGTGGCAAGAACCATAAAACATTAAAAAGGCAAACTGAATGACGGTGAATCAGCACCATATAGTTTAATGTAAGGGTCACACATTTTCCCTTTGGGCCTGACACAAATAGGATGTGTCTTTTTAATTTAGTCCTATTTTTGGAACCCTCTAATCATCACCATCATCCCTCAAACGTCCTAAGTTTTACTATCTGCTTCTGACTGCACAACGCACTGTGTATTTTATGAAACTGACTCTGTTGAAGACAGAGTTTCTGTAGTTCCTACCTTACCAGAACACGCACAAGTTATGCCACCAACAAAGCACACATCAGGGCTTTGAAAAATTTCTGCCTGTAACTGATTCTATTAAATACAGCAGCACGAACTTCATCATCACACGACATCACTTCAGGCTTAGGTTTCAAGACTCTTTACAAACTCTTCAAGAACGGAAGTTGTCAGAGAATGTTACTGGGTGCCCAGATCCACTTCACACCCTGTAACCCAGCCCGCACCCCCAGCACTGTTATCACACCTGGAATTTGTTCTTCCGCTTTTATGGGTCAGGTAAGAGTTCTCCAAGCCATCTTGAAAACCCTTAAGACACTTTATATAGAAATGATGTGAATTATTTTAACCCTAAAATATATGTTCTACATGCAGCCCCCGCCTCCGCCTCCCCTTTCCATAGAAACACACTTTTAAATACACACACTTTACCAATACTTTCCTCTGCTTTTCTGAACCTTTCAAATCATAACAAGCATTTTGAAACCAGAAATCTTATCCTTTGTAAAAAAAAAAGAATCAACAAATTTTAAAAATAATGGTTATGTGTGGGGCTATTAAGAAAAGGAAAAACAGCGACTGTTCCACCCTTAGGAGAGGACGCAGTGAACGGACTCTGTAAACAGAAACCCAGATTCCCTCTGCAGCTGGCACTGCTGAGGGTGTGGCTGCCCTCCGAGTGTGCACAGGAGATCAATTCATACCAGCAAAACCGGAAAAATCACAACTGAGAGCAACTGTGGAAGCAGCGAGAGCCAAGAGCAGGACGTAAAGGAGTCTGCTTTCTGCTAGGTGAGTCACAGGAAACTTTCCTGCCAGAGTGGGGAGGCCCGCCGTGCCCATCTCCTTCAGTTAAGAATGTAGGTCAAAGCTCCCTGGGTTTCATGCTCCAGGGATCCGAGGGGAAGGGCTAGGGCCCAAGTTTAGAGGCAGAAGCCCAGTTCCTAGGGAGCAGGGAGGTCAGCCACTGGCCTTGGCCTGCCTTCTAACTAAGCCTCCACTTTCAGCAGACTACAGCGAACTCCATCATTCCAGAAGTGAACAACACACGGGAGTACTGGGGTAGCCCTTCTTACTATTCTGGATTTGGGCCACCTTGTGTATTCTTACGAGGGCTCACAGGATGAAAGGCTCACAGGATGAACCAGCTCAACTTGTGTTTGTATATAATGACGGTCAGCTCACCCAGCTCTGTTGACACAGGGGACCCGGTGGCAATCTCACCAATCTTGGCCACTCCATCGTAGTAGGCTTTTCCCGCAAGGATCATAGCTAGACAGGGAAGGTGACACACAAAAATCATCACTTACACAAGGAAAAGAGGAAGTGCATGGAGGTTTGCTTCCAAATATCCCTCAGTCCCTTCTGGGTGCAGAAAGGTTTGGGCTGTGCCAAGGGTGGCTCTCGGAGGGCAGGGCTTGTGCCTGATAGCTGTGACGTCCCTCCACTGCACTTTCGGAGGCCCCCGCCAAATGGAAAGCTCCACAGGATCCTCACCTTGGACCAGCCCTGGCATAGCTGAATCCAGAAAAGGCCCTGCCTTCTGATGCCAGTTCCAGAGGGGATATGTTTCCAACATCAAATTAGGGCTGGAAACATATCCGCTCCAGCAAGAGAGCTTTTCTCAGCTGGTTATTCTACAGCTACACAGGTCTGCAACATTATTAGTTGAAAGAACTTGCATGGGGTGGCCCAGGAACCTGGCCTTTCAATGGCACTTTAACTTTTCTATTGAAAAACTTATTCTGACCCACAAACAATAAAATAATTGTTGTTAGGGGGGAAAGGTATGAAATTTAAAATACATTATTTTAATCACTCCAAAAACACAACAGAATTCTCTGAAAAATAATTGAATGTTCTATCATCTCCCCACTACCTTTTTGGCAGAAACAAGGAAAACTTCTATTGCTATATCAATTGGATTCTATTTCTCTTAAAAATAGTATTTCTCTTTTCAAATTGATTCTGAAGACTAAATTATAAGGTGTAGAAATCTGTTTTTGATTTTTCTTTTTCCTTCCTTTCTTTTTCTTTAGGAAAGGGAGTCAGGGGCAAGACAGACCTGGGTCTGCATTCTGCCTTTACTTCTAATGACACGACCTCCCTGGGCAAGGTCACTATCCTTTTTGAAACAAAGGAGGGTCATCTATAAAATGCCCTAAGAGCACAAGCATGGAAGCTGCTAATATGGATTCCTTCCTTCACTTTCCAACAAGCTAGGTTTGTTGTACAACAAGCAAGCTTTTTAGCAACACCTAGCCTATTTAGTGTGGTTTTGAAGAAAATAATTTATTTTGCTTTACTCAAAGACTAACTCTGAAGAATACAAAATTTTAGAACTAAAAGAGCCCTTAGGAATCTCTAAGATTCCTTTCCTTTTTACTGCGAAGAAAACCAGAGGCCATACCAAGTGCTTTGCCCCAATTTATAATGGGTATTGTTTTACAACAGTGGATTGAAAAAGATATCTCAAGCATTAAAAAGTAGGGGGGAGAAGGTAGGGGGTGCCACAGAACAAATTATGTACAAGTCTAGCTGAGGATATTACTGGCCAAAAAAGTAGCATTTTCATGGCAAATTCATCTATTTCTTGTAGAGTTGAAAAAAAATGTAAAAGTTACAGCTTTTACTAATATGTATACAAGTTTAAGAAATGTAACGCTCTATTATACAGTTATTTCATAAGACTGAGGATAACCTTAAAGTAAAATAGTAAAAAAGAACAATAACAAGTAGCATTTATATGGACTTTCCAAGCCTTACTTAAGTTTACCTATCCAAGAATATTAAGACATGGGTCAGTGATGTTATCACCCTGTTTCATGAAGGAGAGTGGAGTGAAGATATGCTGGGACGTGCCCAAGGTCAATGGCAAATCAGAGGCAGTGCACATAACTCCAACTAAGGTAGTTTACTTCCTCAGTTCTAAATCACCATGCTTTTCATGACTCTTTGGTCTCAGCTAGAACTGAAAAAGAGAGGACTCTACCTAAAAACAAGGTTTGTAGCCAATAAACTGGTAAGTTAATAGGTGCAACTTTTAATAAGAAGATTTTAAGTTGTATGATACTGATAAGCTGAAAAGCAGATCAGTGGGAGAATGGCATATATGCACAATGCATAAAAAAAATTTTCGGTTTGCATCCACACGTGAAATTGAAATTTTTTGTTAACTGTTGACTTATGTTTAAAACTATTTAGGGGCGCCTGGGTGGCGCAGTCGGTTAAGCGTCCGACTTCAGCCAGGTCACGATCTCGTGGTCCGGGAGTTCGAGCCCCGCATCAGGCTCTGGGCTGATGGCTCAGAGCCTGGAGCCTGTTTCCGATTCTGTGTCTCCCTCTCTCTCTGCCTCTCCCCCGTTCATGCTCTGTCTCTCTCTGTCGCAAAAATAAATAAACGTTGAAAAAAAAAATTAAAAATAAATAAATAAATAAAACTATTTAACCTCAGAATGGTAAAATATTCTTGCTTTAATAATAAAGTTGAATTAACTTTAAAAACTATATAATTTATCCAGAACTTAATAAAGAATACTATTCTCATAATTTTGCCATCCCCCCTTTGTGAATACATTAGGAGATTTTCTATCACTTGTTTTAAGGAACGAAGCATATTTGTCCTATTTTAGTGGTTGACCAACTACTTCATCAATCTAATCTACAAACTGCTACCAGATAATTTTCCCTTAAAGTATGATTTCATTAGGTTACAGGAGTGCTCAAGAACCTTCATGGCCTCGACTGCCCATAGTGTAAGCCCACACTCCAGAGTTCATGACAGATTTTACAGAAATCGCCTTGGATAAACCATACCTCCCAGAATTCCCAACTTTTGTAGTCCCCTATACATTGATTGGGGGCTTGGTCATGTGACTTGCTTTGGCCAATGGAGTACCAGCAAGCATAACTCCTACAGGGATTTGCACTCTTGGAAGTCTGCTATGCCAGAAAGAGGGAGCCCAGCCCCCAGCTGACTGCAATTGTAGGACTGAGCCCCAGGGGTCCAGAGAACTGCACTGCCTTTACAGGACCTTAAGAAATAATAAACTATTGTTGACTTAAGCCACCAAGTTTAGGGAGACTTTGTTATGTGGCTATAGATAACTGATGCTGCATTCACATGCATTAACAATCTGACCCCATTCCACCTTGTATTTTACTATTCCCCAACAGCTTCTCACTCATGCCAGTCTGGGCCTCAGATTTTGGCTTGGATGCTGTCTTTTCTGCCTGAAACCTAACATGTGTCAGCTTGCACAGCTCCTACAAGGCCTCCCGCCTGCTCTGTTCCCCACCAACTTCACTGCTCAAATTCCTGTGACACTGCTCTTTCCATGCTCTTTGTTAGCTGTGAATGTTGTCCTGACTTATGACCTAAGTGGTGACTGCACATCTGGCATCCTCAACTATACTACAAATTCTTACCGAGGACTTTACAAATTTATCTCAATTTCTCGATGGCTTCAGTAAAAAACAGATGGCCTGCAGAAATTCTGGAAATACTTTAAAAGTGCAAAATAGTCCCTTTGGGGAGAAGCCTTATTTAGCAAGAGACTAAGCTGCTGGCAGCTCCCTGAGTCACCTTGTAAAACTGCCTCGGAGAGGCACCAAGTGCTAGAAAGAAAAAAAACCATCGCAGGTCATTGTGACTTCCTTCACAGGGGCATCTAAAGCAATGACTTTGTGGCCTTGTGACTAAGCAGTCATGGAGGGAGAGTCAGCTGTGCAAGAATTCTAAAACCAGTCTCCTGCTCTTTGATAAGGGAGGTGAGGGGTCACCTACAGAGGTCGCTGACACTTCTTTGGGGGTGAGGGATGGTTTCCCAACAGTGAAAATGTCTGGCAAACAGCACAGAGATCCAGAAGAAAGTAAATAAGTAGTTTACTTTCCCATGATTATGACAATTGGGCACCTGTCATCCAAACTCTAGCTACCATACCCCCTCTTCCTGGGGCATGCTTATGCTAAGGGTATATGAGGTCACAGATTTATTTTCAAAACCTCAAGAGGGAGCAGCCAAAGGTGTGACATGGTGAAAGAAGGAAATGAAAATACATAAAAGACCCAGAACTTGATCTGAACCATTGGAAACTAAGTTTTCTACTTATGTTACATGGTGGTTTTAGTGAACCAAGGTAGAGGGTGAAAATGGTGTCTGAATATTTTTGGGGTGACACTTGTTACATAGGGAGAATTATTGTGACTGTGTTAAAATCTAGTGATTAACAGCATCTCAAGTTTTTAAGGTGATCACTGATAACATTCACCTCTTAGTAGGGAAATGCATGTGTAGATGCAGGTCAGCTTCCTCCAATAAAACCTCTTGAAACTAGCAAACAACTCCAGTTCACAAAGAGAGACAAAAGCCAACGCCTGAATTCATTTTAAAGGAAGCACTCTTTTGGAAATGAAAATTTTAACTTCAACCTTTAACTCAGATGTTTTTCCGTTCAGGCAAAAACTTTTCTCATATCACTATCAGAAGTTATACACCCAAAGGCAAGAAAGTATTCTACATAAATAAAAAGAGAGTAATTCTTCTGCTGCAAGACACTAACAAATATTTTAAGCACACATTTAATATATGTTATTAGTTCACGACGAATTTGGTTTGCAAAGTGGAAAACATGTTTATGGCAATGATGTAAAAGATTGAGTCCGGTCAAAAACCATGATCTGGTAATTGAAATACATCACTTAGAATAGCCAATGATTCAATTTATTCATTTCAAATACACTAATATCCTATCATTGCAAACTTCCATAGAATTAACCTAAGTATTGTTTTTAACTTCAAGATATTTCAAAAATTCACTATTAACCACATAAAAATAATTAAGTAAAATATTTACTGAATGGTGTTTATATGTGCACTATATTTATAAATTTAGAAAACACACTTACCATTAACAGCTTTTTCATAATTTTTTCCTAGGTTTATTAAATTTCGTAGCCCAGGATTGAACTGTTCCATAACATTCTGACAAACAAACAAACAAACAAATTAATAAGATAAGCAAACAGTAGATCAAGTAATCTTTAGACTTTGTCACTACATAGCCATGGATGCCTGTGTATGCTTGACAGTACGTCTACAAAGCCATGAATGTTTACTTTAAAATAATGAAGAGCACATACTTCTTTACTGATGGAACAGGGCACTCGTACTGGCAAGACACATGTGATCCTGGCAGTTTCCCAGTTGCCCAAGGGCTGCCTAGAACCTACTATAAATGGAGCAAGTAGCCGACATGCATACCTCCAAAGCATACCCCACAGGAGTTACAGGCCCAGAAGCTGATGCTCCCGGTGGGGTTTAAGTAGGTTAATGGTTGTCACGCTAATGTTAAAAACAGGTGTGCATGATTGGAACTTTATATAAGCAATGTTTTGGTTATCAATTGAACAGACATTTCTTTCTTTTTTTTTTTTTTAATTAACGTTTATTTATTTTTGAGAGACAGAGACAGAGCACGAACATGGGAGGGGCACAGAGAGGGAGACACAGAATCCGAAGCAGGCTCCAGGCTGAGCTGTCAGCCTGTGTTGAACCCACGAACCATGAGATCATGACATGAGCCAAAGCTGGATGCTTAACTGAGTCACCCAGGTGCCCCTGAACAGACATTTCTAAGAGATCTTGTTTTTACTATGCTTAATAACCAGGAGAGGGTATGAGGGTGGGTGTTGCTGATGGCCCTAGGACACAGGCCAGTCTGCGACCTTCTGTTCAGGTGGTCACTGGCATTTTTTTTCCTAGTGATCAGTTTATTCATTAAGTTCTTATGGAGTAACCACCGAGTGGTAGGTAGGTCCTGTGCACACAATAGTAGATGGAAAGACATGGTTTCCCTCTCATAGATTTCATGATGCCATATCTCTGCAAATGTCATGGTTTTCATTTTTAAAAGTGTTATTCTTATATCACTAGAAAGTCACAAACATAGAGACAAATGCTAAGTATAAGAGGCAATTATTTGGAATGTTGACCTAAACTTAGATTATCCTAAATCTGAAGTACAAACAAAAGATCATTCCTATGGGTTTCTGACTTCTTGACTAAGAATACACGGTGACTGAATGTATTTGTTCGATCTACAAATAATGAGCTTCACAGCATTAGTCACTCCGGGTGGACCACTCAAGTCTCCTTACCTCCTCTCCCCAAATGTGAACCCTATTTGTACAAGACCAGGCAATAAAAAGAATGAAAAACATACAACATTCAAATGGCAGGTACTTGATACACATGCTCTTCAGGATAAAAGGTTCTCCTTTATAAACCAGTACAGAGAGAACATAATAACTTTTATTTTATCAAACAATGATAAAGGCTTATCATGAAAAACAACCCTTGGCTCAACCTTTCCCTAAACTTCAACTTACTCCTAAGAGCACTTTCAACTACGTTGTTATTCTTATATTCATTGCCATAGTTTTGGATAATATTCTTGATTTCTCAATTTTGGACAATAATGACTGGCTTTCTACTACCCTAGATAAGGGCTCAGCTCTCCATATCACTCCACTTTCCCTACCCCAATCCTTCCTATATAATTCAATGGCAATTTGCTGGTAAGTTGAGAGGGTTTATTATGACTTTGTAAATATCGGTAACTACAATGCAAGGAATGTACTAGGGATTATGTTCCTTTCTTGGTACAGTCTTTGTTTCTCCTGGGATTAACAATCACCTCATCACCCTCCACACACACCACCCCTCCCCGGCTTAGTTTTCCATGAATCTACCTTAAATTTTTCCACATGCTCCATCCCATCTAGCAGAAGTCTATCAATATTATTTTTCAAATGCACAAAGTTGTCAGCTAATCTTCCATTCCATTTTTCCCCTGAACTTCCTCCAAGGACTCCGTCCTCTTGCTCAGTCTGGCCTGACTGTCCCTGCCACGCTGCTACCCTTGCATGTCCTTTTCTAATCCCCTGTGTTAGAGCTCTCATTAACTGGACTCCACACCTTCCTCTTTCATTATTCCCGTTTGCTGAAGATCATTCTCCAAGAACAACCTAAGGAATGATGCATGATAGATAAATTTGAGTCACCATGTGTCTGACATTATCTTTACCTTGACATTTGATTGATATTTTGCTGGCTAGAGTATGACAAAGCAAAAGTGATTTTCCTTTAGAATGTTAAAGACACTGCTCCACAATTTTTAACATCTAGTTTTGCTACTGAGAAGTCAGCCGTCATTTCTTCTTCCTTTGCATAGGACATAGTTGGGGGTGCTTATTTCTGGAAGACTTCTCTTTATCCCTGTGTACTACATAATGGTCTGTCTTAGTATGGGTACTTATTAATTTTACTGGGCATTCAACAGACCCTATCCATATAGAAAGTTATGCCCATTAGGTCTGAAAAATGTTCCTGTTTTGTTTTTTGTCTCTCCCTACTTTCTGGAATTCTGATAAGGATTTTACACACCGTGAATTTATTATCTAATCATTTTACCTTTTTTCTTTGATTTTCCACTTTTTGTTCCCCCATCTCTGACAGATATCAACTTCACATTCCAAGTCTTCTATTATGTTTTTTAAAACTTTTGATATCACATTTTAAGTTTGGGCTCTTTGCAGGTTTTTTTTTTTTTTTTTTAATTATCCCTTTTTAAAAGTATCCAGTTCTTGTTTTGTGAATGATGTATCTCTAATCGGAATAAATCATAATTTTTTTGTTATTTTCTTCCAGTTCCCCATATTATCTCCTAATTATTTCTTTTCATTGTTTGGCATCCATCTGTCTTTTGTGTTGGAGGCTTTCCTCAGACATCTGGCAATCCCTGATAGCCTGTTCATATTTAGAAAAATTTTTTTTAATTTTTTTTAATGTTTATTTATTTTTGAGACAGAGAAAGACAGAGCATGAATGGGGGAGGGTCAGAGAGAGAGGGAGACACAGAATCCAAAGCAGGCTCCAGGCTCTGAGCCATCAGCACAGAGCCCAATGTGGGGCTCAAACTCACGGACTGTGAGATCATGACCTGAGCTGAAGTTGGATGCTTAACCGACTGAGCCCCTAGCCTGTTCATATTTAAGAGTAAAGTCCTAAAATGCTGGCTGGAAGCTTGTGGGTGTGGGTGTGTACACTAGGGTTGTTGTTGACTAGTAGGCTTCATTCAGAGTAACTGGACAAGTCAGCTATAGACAAACTGGCCATGTGACAGTAACCAGGGTCCACTGAGTCTAGACAAGTTTCTTATTTCCTATCAGGGGTAAGGGAAGAGGCAATGGCCAGGTGGCTGGCTTTCCCCACCCATCAGGAAGGTGACTGGGTTGGGAATTTCACAGTTTACTGAGTTGATTTTTACTGAATTCCTGCTCTCTAAGGTTTATTCCCTCCACCTTCTGCTGTTATTTCCAGGTCGAGACCTCCTCTGATTCAGTATGCCCTGAGATTAAATCTCGAGTCTGCCAGGCAGAGAGAGCTTCTAGTAGTAGTGGTGGTTCAGGTAGGAAAGAAAAACTGTCAGTTTAACCACCTTGTGTAACTCCTTTTCTGGCCCTGGGTGTCCCCTCCATCCCCACCTTCTGTGGGCCTGCTCTCCAGCCTCTCAGGTTCTTTGAGGTGAATGGCTCAGCTCTCATCAGTACTCCCACTGCAGAGTCTTTAAGTTTTCTTAAGGCAGCTACCACTCCTCCAAATTCTTCTAGGCTGTTCATCAACTGCTCTTTTTTCAGTCCTTTCTACCATGAATTTATGGCTTCCACCACCCTCCTTTCCTCTCTTTTTCTTTTCCTTCCTTTGCTATCATTTCAATGTATTCTCTCTCTCTCTTTTTTTTTTATGTTTATTTATTTTTGAGAGAGACCGAGACAGAATGCGAGTGGGTTAGCAGAGGAGAGAGAAGGAGACACAGAATCCAAAGCAGGCTCCAGGCTCTGAGCTGTCAGCACAGAGCCCGACGCGGGGCTCGAACTCATGAGCTGTGAGATCATGACCTGAGACAAAGTTGGATGCTCAACTGACTGAGCCACCCAGGCGCCCCATCATTTCCATGTATTCTTAGAAGAAAAACCTCAGGGTCAATCTGCTGTACTTAACTGGAAGTCCACTCATCCTGTGTTATTGAAGCCAGTCATCTGTTTGAGCCTCATTTACAACCAGCAGCCATAAAGCCCCAAAGCCAAAGACGACTCCCATACCAGTCTCTCTGAAAGATCTAAGTCTCAATACTGGAATACAGGGACCTGAAGCCATAGCTGCTATTTCTACCCTCTTTTCTCAATTCCCTTGTTTTGTTTTTAGGCTTATTTTGAAATTGTTCAAGATTCACAAGAAGCTATAAAAACTGTACTGAGAGTTCTCACATATGCTTTTCCACTGACGGTAACTTATATAACCATGGTACATTATCAAAACCAGGAAACTGATATTGGTACAACGCTTAACTAAACCGCAGACTTCATTTGTATTTACCAGTTTTTTTTGTAAGCTTCTTTTGTTTTTGTTTTTTTTTAATGTTTTTATTATTTATTTATTTTGAGAGCGAGAAGTCCATGAGCAGGGGCAGGGCAGAGAGAGGGGGAGAAAATCCCAAGCAGGCTCTGCACTGCCAGCACACAGCCTGATGTGCAGCCTGATCTCATGAACCATGAGAACATGACCTGAGCGGAAATCAAGAGTAGGATGCTTAACCGGCTGAGTCCCCCAGGCACCCCTGTATTTACCAGTTTTTATATCACTCATTTTGAGGGGGGAAAGTGCATTGTGTCTATGAAATCTTAACACAAGTATAGACTTATGTGACCATCACCACAGATACAGTACAGAACTGTTCCACTAACACAGTGATCTCTCTCATGCTACCCCTTTACAGTCACACCCTCTCCACCAATCTCAATCACTCTAATTTTGTCATTGTGAAGATATTATATAAATGGAATCATACAGTATGTGACCTCTGAGACTGGCTTTTTCACTCAGCACAATGTCCTTAGGAACCATCCAAGTTGTTGGGTGTA